ATTAATATGGAATAATTTTTTATATTTCAGAGTTACTCAAAAACCATTAAAATCGATTCTTCAAGAAGCAAATGAGAAAAAAGCAGAAATAATTCAACTGTTCAAAGAAATTTCTCTTGATTTGGAGGGTGTAAATTATTATAGGTAATGATTTGTTTGATTCAAATGTAATTTTTATTTTTTAATTTTCTTATTCTTTTAGATTAAAACGCAATTAAGTTTGTAGGTATCATAAAAACATTTCTCCCTCAATTCAAGAGTATATTGAGGCTATTTCATTTTTAGAATATTTGCAAAATGATCGGTTGATTACAAAAGATCAAGTTGAAAATGATTTCATGGATGAAACTGGTACTCAGGCATGCGAATGAAATTTACTACCTTACGGATAAACAAATTTAATTATTTTATTAATATTAAATATGTGAATTTAGTTTTTACTAATTACGGACCAAGACTATATAATGGGTCTTGCTGATCTAACTGGTGAATTAATGCGATATGCAATTAATAGTGTTGGAAAAGGGGATCATGATCGAGCGATTAAAGTTTGTCAATTCCTGCGTGATATAAAAATTGGTACGTTAATATTTCAAAATCGTTCTTTCAATCACTGTTCAATAATTTCGTAAGCATCTCTTGATTTTCACTCGATATATCAAAAAATATATATAGATTTTGAAATTCTTAAAATTCATACAAGATCTCCCTTGGGTCGAAAAATGGATGCAATGCGCCAAAGTTTATCAAAAGTTGAAGATGGTATCGTTATTAAACTAGTATTATAATCAAAAAATTGGTATTCATATTATTAATTCTTATTTCACATAAATTTATTAGCCTGCTATGCCCTAACGATTAGGGGCTCAGGTATGTTACTTTGCAAAAAGCAAGTGGATCTATTATATGATTTAAATAATCATAATTTTCTTGTCATACGACAGAATATCCCAAAGAATTTTATCAACACATTGTTAGTGAACATGCGAGAAATTACGAATATACAGAAGAAGAGGAGTAACCTCCATCAACAGAAATGTTGCTAATATTTTCATGAATCAATTTTCGATCCCAAGAGATAATTGATATTAACTGGATCAATTTAATATATGAATCATTTTTACATAATTCTGATATACAAAAAATGTTTTATATAGATAGCAAAAGTATATAGTCAACTCCCGCAATAGTCACACCCGTGTTTGTCACAGTCTCACTATAGTCGCTTTATGTTTTTATCTAATCATATATATATATATACATAAATTCCTGCTCGCTTTAGTCACAATTTCACAATAGACACATAAATGCCTGATTTTACCATGTGAATATTGCGGAAGTTGATTGTAGTATTAATAAAATTTTTGGAAGACCAAAATTTATTAATAAGTATATTAAAATTTTTTTCATTTATATTAGTAAAAAAAAATTTTAGGGCTAGAGACATAAAAAATTGGAGATAAATATGCATTGCATAGATGCGATTCTTTAATGTAGTCTAATATGCATGCTTTGAATCTGATCTGATATTATACGTATATTAATGCAATGCTAATCTTTTTTAATAAATTAGTTTATTTGATAGCTATTAGGTTACCAAGTATTGTTTTTATACAATGACACTAAATCACACCAGTAGTCATATGTATTATTGTCAGGATCATGGTAATGATTATTTATATAATTGTGATCTCTATATCAAAACAGGCATTGTTGAGCGACTTTTAGAACACCCGACATGTGGATTTTAGTAGGTTTAGTGGACTCAAATTGAGACCTCAAATCTCAGCATCAACCGCGACATTTATTAATAGTTTTGCTAGCAAAATTTAGGAACCTAAACTATAGTAAAGATACATTTTTGGGATGCGAACATTTTATTTAGTATATCCAACATGGGTATTTAGCTAGTTTTTGAGATATAGCAACTGTGGTGTTGAACACTGATGTGATTTAGTGAAACCGTTTTCGCTAATTGATAAATAAAATAACAGCTTTAAAAATATACTTTAATTTGTAAGATACTTCAGGAAAATTTGGCTAAAAATTAATACAAATTCACTTGATTTATTGTTTTAAAGAATTCAAATATTTATTAAATAAATAAATAAATATAGAAGACTTCTATTTGTACCAGGTGGGTATGATATTTGGTATAAGAAAAAAAAACTAAAAATCATTAATATCTCAAAATTTTACTAAAACCACATGTAGGTATCTGAGTAAAATTGTTTCGAATTTATTTTTCATATAATCGCACATGCTTCTAAATCTAACCGACCTTAATATATATAGAGTACTGTAAAACATTATAATGGGTATTATACCTATTGGTAATGATAGTAAATTTCTATAATTTAACATCACTTCTTTCATGTCCATCCCAATATATTCCTATTTGAAATAATTATTTCAAATATTATTATTTAAATAAATTATATATCGTAATATATAAAAACAAATATATACCTTTTTTTAATATTAATTATATCCAAGTTTTTTTAACCAATTAGTTGCTGTTTTTTGCCAATAGGTTTATTATCTAAAAATTCTTTCAAATTTTTAAATTTTCTAGAAGTTATAGTACCACCTTGAGAAATTATCCAATCTTCAGATTTTAATTTCTGAATTTTCAGTTAAAGATTTTATTTTTGAATGTTTTCCTTGTTTGCTTATTGAAAAACCGTCATTATTTTCAAGCCAAGTATTGGCCTATTTCTAATTGTGCGTTCTTTATTTGATGCAGGTTTGATATATCTTTAGCAGCTTCTTGACTTGCAACTTCGCTTTTATTTTTATATTCATCTAAAATAATTAAAAATATTCATTTATTGTTTTTAATTTATTATATTTAGCCGCAATTAAATTACTGTATATATATATTATTCAAATGTAATCTACTTTAATAAGTGTAAAAATCAAGTATTTAGGAGTTTCGCGACTTTTATTGTGAGAAATAAAAGATGTAAAAGCAAAGCCAATAAGATTCTACCAGGTCATAAAACGAT